TCATTCGCGCGCAACAAGGTCCAATGATTAAAATCAAAAGGATTCTTAAAATCACCAAAAAGCACCTCCAAAACCTTGCTTAAGTGCACCCCTACACACCACCTACTTTCGAGTGTGCTTTCTCAGGCCACCCCCCCGAACCCCCCTTCTTACTCAGCTGGCGCCGTGCCATGTATAGATACCCAGGGTAGCTACAATTCTGTTTGCAGGTATCCCACTTCAATTTCCCTACCCTGGGGAGCCAGGGCAGCTACAAGGCATTTGCCAGGTATACCCTGAGTTGCGCGGACCCAGGGTCCCCAGGGTAGGGAAAATTGAAGTGGGATACCTGGCAACAGAATTGTAGCTACCCTGGGTCCGTATGAATGCTATGTTGCTATACCTCTTACACACATATATAAGTTCAATGCAAGAATGAGACTTCAAAGCTGTGGATTGCTGTGCGTGTGTAAAGGTTATCGAGCGGTTGATGGAAAGGGAACTTGAAGTACTATACCTGCTAACTGCACTATAGCTACCCTGGGTATCTATACCATTCTATACCTGGCAAGGTGCCACCTACACCTTACCATTTAGATGATGCAAATGATGCAAAGTGCATTTCTTGCATCACCACCCCTCAAAAATCACCTCCAACACAACCTCAAAAAACCTTCCATCCGTCCACCCTCCTCCCCCAGCATGTGCCGAGTTTACATGTACCTTTTGCGGGCCAGACCCCCTAACTACTCACTTCGTTCGCCAAGCACAACTCAGCTGGCACCTTCTACGAAGGCTGGCTTTTTCGTAACGATGATTTTGGGAATTCCATCATTCTGCGGCTCCGGCCTGGAGGTCTCATTGCCGGCTTCAACGAACTTGGGCCACAATTGAGTCCCAGCAAAAGCCGCTTTGTCTACCTTAGCCAGGAGAAGCGTGGTGTCTATGGAGTGCCGAGCAGTCCAAAAGACTCGGCGCATGCGTCGTACCCGAAGCGATACTAGGTCACAGTTGGACAAGCACCCTCAAAGACGTCGTTTCTGGGCCAGCTTTCATGACGCTCAGCCAGTTCACGCAAAACTTACAAGGGGTTGATGCAACATGACGAAACGCCTGTGTCCGTGTTTCATTCAACCACAACTCAATAAACAAACACCCTCAGGCTCCAAAATGTAGATACAACAATTCCCAACATGTTACTGTATCACTATTTTTACTCTGAGTATCTCAGAGGTCTATCAACTTGACTCTGCGACAAAGTATGAACTGATACAGAACTGCCCCTGAGCTTCATGACACCCGGCTTGTTGAACCAGTTGTGAATACCAAGCCTCGGTGCAAAGGCACGTCCAACAGCTAAACACCGACCTCCAAAGGAGGCTTCAAGTGCAGCTCATGCATGTGGTCTGAGGTCAATCTCATGCGTGCAGACACCGCTGAAGCTCCCAACGTAAGGTCGGTGGCAAGGGACATTAATCGGTTCGCCTAAGGCAGGAGGTTGCTTGGGCACAATTGACGCAACGTTGTCTTACAAGTCGTGAGGGACTTCCAATGGAAACAAGATGTGCCATCTGCTAGATCCCACGCTTGAGATTTCTGAGGCCAGCGCGTCTAAAGCCTGGGCAGCAGCAACGGAGACACTGACACACACACACACACACGCTTTTTTTTATATGTATATACCCACACTCACATACATATATAATATATATAGATATAGATATAGATAAATGGATGAAATTATGTGGCCCCTAGCTGAGGACAGCCTTTTCACTTGTGGCCCGGAGGGGGGGTGGCGAAAGCTAGGCAAATAAACAACGCTGGAGCTCTTTAGGCAGCAAAAGCCTGGCCGGGAATCGCAACATGCCATGGCCAAGGGAAAAGGAGAGTGCCAACAGCGCCCCCCCAATACGACCCCAACACAGCCAACACATGGCAACACACAACCACCCCAGCAACCGCCGCAGCACCACAACAACAATAACTGTAACCAGCAGCGGCAGCGGCAGCAAGCAGAAGCTACCAAGCAGCAGCAGAAGCAGCAGCAGGAGTAGCTAGCAAGCAGCAGCACCAGCTACCAAGCAGCAGCAGCAGGAGCAGCTACCAAGCAGCAGCAGCAGCAACAGCTGCTACCAAGCAGCAGCAGCAGCAGCAGCAGCAGCAGCTACCAAGCAGCAGCAACAACAGCTACCAAGCAACAGCAGCAGCAGCCAAGCAGCAGCCAAGCAGCAGCCAAGCAGCAGCCCAGCAGCAGCAGCAAAGCAGCAGCAGCAGCAAATCGGCAGCAGCAAAGCAGCAGCAAAGCAAAGCAGCAGCAAAGCAAAGCAGCAGCAAAGCAGCAGCAGCAGCAGCTACCAAGCAGCAGCAGCAGCAGCTACCAAGCAGCAGCAGCATCAACAGCAGCTACCAAGCAGCAGCAGCATCAACAGCAGCTACCAAGCAGCAGCAGCAGCAGCAGCCACCAAGCAGCAGCAGCAGCAGCAGCTGCTACCAAGCAGCAGCAGCTACCAAGCAGCAGCAGCAGCAGCAGCTACCAAGCAGCAGCATCAACAGCAGCTACCAAGCAGCAGCAGCAGCAGCCCGCAGCAGCAGCAGCAGGAGCAGCTACCAAGCAGCAGCGGCAGCAGCAGCTACCAAGCAGCAGCAGCATCAGCAGCAGCTACCAAGCAGCAGCAGCAGCATCAACAGCAGCTACCAAGCAGCAGCAGCAGCAGCAGCAGGAGCAGCTACCAAGCAGCAGCAGCAGCAGCTACCAAGCAGCAGCAGCAGCATCAACAGCAGCTACCAAGCTCAGCAGCAGCAGCAGCAGCTACTAAGCAGCAGCAGCAGCAGCTACCAAGCAACAGCTACCAAGCAGCACCACCAGCTACCAAGCAGCAGCAGCAGCAGCACCAGGGAAAGAGTGAGCTTTCCTTAGAGTCTTTCGTGCCCCAACATTTGGTCTCGAACATTAGCACATAAAGGTGCTGCCTGAGTAATTGTAGAAGGCCGACGCGGAAAGACAGATATATCTGATATATATATATATATATGTTTTTCCACGAAGAAATGCTGACGATGCAGCCACCAGCGGTTGCATGATTGACATCTAGGGGTTGCGTGCGAACATGTGTCCATGAGTGAAGCAAACAGCCCGTTCGAACATCTTACTGGGTTCTGTCATTCATGTGAAAGGTAAGTATCATCTTTTGATCTGCAGGGATAGCGGGTAGTGCATTCTGATTAGTACTCTTGGTGGTTGTGGGGTGGGTACATGCCTGTACAAGCTTCTTACGGATATAATGACTCAGAGGGAATGCAACTACTCTCGATTCTAACGAATACAAGAAGCAGCAGGCAGCCAGCATCCAGCAGCAGCAAGCATGGAAGCAGCAAGCAGCAGCAACCAGCAAGCAGCCAAGAGCCAGGCGCAGATGAGATGCCAGCAGCAGCAGCAGCAGCGACCCAGCGACCAAGCAGCAGCAGCAGGTCCGGGCGAGGGGGGGGGGGGGGGGTGTAGTCCTGATATATCAGGTCATCTCCAGCAAGACAGACTCCAGCTAGCTACAGCTAGCTTTCGTGATCAGTTGGCCCAACAGACTGAACCAAATACTCCCGGTGAAACCACACTGCGGCAAAGCAGATCACCACTGACGTTCTTTCCGAGCCGTTCGCCCACCAACTCAGCTTAGGCACCGGAGCTTCGGCTAAGGACTGCCGCCACTCCTCCTCTTCCTGTCATGGCGGAAGCCAAGTGTATGTTTTTTGACCGTGTGCCATGGCGTCACCAAACAAACTGTTTGAAGATGTTCTGGATAATCTTCTCAACTATCTTCTGAATATCTTCATGATATTTTCACACAGAACTTGTGAACTGGGGGGGCCCGAGCAGAGATCGTGCTAGCTTGACCTAGGCAGAGAGATCGACTCAAGACCGGAGGTTTCAAGAAGCCCGTGGTGATACCAGTGATGTGTCTCTTGCCACTTGCTTGCTCCTGATGTGGAAGAGAAAACGGCGTAATACGGCGTATACCTACAATATTTCTCACAGGCCATCACGCCAAAGCCCTTTCTCTTGCCTTTGCCTGCAGGCAAGATCACATCACATCGGGATTTCCTGTGAGCATATTGCACTTTACGGATGTTTTTTTGACGGCCTCAGACTTTGCAGGTGCCAAAACCGATGTTTCCTTAACCTGTATTGTTCTCGATTGATGTGTATTGATGTGTCTTCTCTCATTCTCAAACCTCCTCTGGAAGAACTGGTATTGAATGCCAAGACACTGAGCATCTTCTGCTTGGACGAGTTGTGACCGGAGTTTAGGGCCCCGTAGCGGCGCATGAACACCTTGTTTGTTGCTCTCAGGTCCCAATGAGCAAATAAGCACACATGATGACATCATCAGCAGCATCTCATATTATAATACATCACGCAATACATAATACATTGAATAACATGAAAAAAACGCATGTGAACCACATTGCCCAGCTCGGCACGATAAAGGCACCAACAGAGACGGTGCTGGATTTATTCTCATCCAAAGCCTGTTCAGCAAAAGGACTATTTGATTTGACCTGCAATTTCCCCCCACCTTGTGGTTTGCAAGTCATCCAAGGGTTTCTATCTACGTACCGAAACAATAGCTCAGGTTGCCGGTCACAGGACCCATCTTGATACTAATTACTAATTAAAGTCTATTTATATATTGTTTCTACTAGCTTCTTGTTCCTAGTAGTGAGGCCCTTGCTCCTAGTAGCGATGCCAGGAGCCCCCAGTCGCATATTGAAAATGTCAGAACTGTCCTTCCACAATCCCTTCAGCTCACAGTCCGAGATCTGATTGGGAGACAAAGCAAGGCCGTACCTGGATGGCTTCTGATGGTTTCGTCTGCATGGATAAGTTGCCAAGTGTCCCAAAATGCTAATGAAATGAACATGACATAGCCTTCAACAGCTACCAAGTCATTCTTGACTGATCTGTGCCAGCTACTATGTCCACCTGCCGTACTTAGTAGTCGACATCTTTTTCTCCAAAAGCAATCAAATCGCTATCTGCGTAGGACAGCTATCAGCTCGTCTGCCGTGCTAACCACTTCGTCGAAGTTCGACCGCAGGCCTTCCTCTGCTTGGCCGCCCCAACGCACGCCGACACAAAACATGCCTGCAGCTCTGGCGGCTTTGCCATCACCTGGTGAGTCACCTACATAACATGTAGAACTTGGGTCGGTCCGAAGAACTTCGCAACACTTCAGCAAACCTCCAGCCCCAGGCTTGGCCTCAGAGACTTCATCGGCTCCCAACTGTGTCTTGAAGCTCTCTGACCAATTGTGTGCTTTCAGCACAGCTCGGACATATGCACCGCAGGCGTTGCTTAAAGCACCCAGTATGAGGCCATCTTTCTCCAAGGTTTCCAAGACTTCTTGCAGTCCCGGGACAAGCGGCACGGTCGCTTTGGACACGAGTCCCACATAGTGATCATCGAACTCTTTGGCCAACTTCAAGCCAACCTCATGGTTTTGGTCGCCGGTGGCGTGGAACGCCAGCCTGGCTGGAGTGGTCAGCCGTGTGGCTTCCTTGTATTCGTCTTCGGAGACCACCTTGAAGCCATTCTCTTGGAGCACGGTGTTGGTGCTTGTCCATGCCAGGGCAGTCGAGTTCACTAAAGTGCCATCAATGTCCCACAGTACAGCTGAGAGTTTCCTTGGAATGCTCGAAACTGGGCTGGCCATTCTTGCGTTTCGCACCACGGCAAACTGCGGAAGACGGGAGCCAAAGAAGAGTGCAAAAACCAAGCTTTTCACGCCAGAGGGCACAACCTGGCGTCTGCCCAATTTGTGGGGGGGACGGTTTCCATATCATCCCCGTGACTTTGACTTGAGCCAATTCATTTGACGAGCACATGAGCGCGAAGAAAGCTAAATTGAACGAGCATGATGAGCTGAATAGGGGAGTCTGTTCATGGAGGTATTGCGCGCTCAATAAAAGTCAAGGAGTGAACGAAAGAAGTTTGAGCCAGTTGGAGCTGAAAGAGACATAGGCAAAAGCTGAGGCATGCAACTTGGTCTTGTGGAAGTGAATTCTAACCTCTTCATATCTCAAAAGAGACCGACATTCCGCAGGCGTTGGAAATCGTTATGCGTGCCTCTCCCCATGTTCCCCTTTTGGAATGACTACTGCACGAAACCTGGAGAGCCTCACACTGTGGCACACGTGTCAAGTCTGAGAGGAGCACCACATGTCCCTCAAGACCTCCCTGAGACTTCCGAAGCTTAGACGCCCAGACTGTGCCTCATGGGCGCGCAAAACCGTTGGTGGCAACTTGCTATGGGGCAAGACTCTCTTGCTTGACACTTAAAATTAATCTCAGTCATTCGTCTAGTGTCTACCCGACTGCCTGCCAAGCTAGAGCGCAACGGAAACTGCACATGGTAAACAACAGCAACCTTCCGTATCAGGGTGGCAGTGTCGGAGAAGTTTGTGCTCTGCCACAGTGGTCCACCCGGGACCCAGCCATCATCATCCCTAGAAAAGCCCCCGAGAAAAAGCGGAGCACATTGACGGACGAGTCAAAAAGGGGCTTCGCCTTGTCGACTAGATTGAAAATCTTGTACCAGTTGTTCCCTCCACTTCGCAGCCGTTTAACCTCGGCATTGGCCAAGTTGAGCGGATTTGTTCAAACACCGAAGAACTACAGAACATCAATTACAGAACAAATGGCCGTAAAACGGTGCAACGCCCGCACCCGCAAGCAAAACGACTTCAACAACCAGCTATCTAGATCTATGCCAAATAAATCTCCAGGATTGAGTCATTCTCCTGAAGTGCGTGAGCCGGAACACTATGTAAAATTCAATCCTGATGATTTTTTAGGAGGAGATCGGTTTTGTTGATCACTGTCATGATTTTCAGACGGCTCTACGAGTCAAGTTTCTTGGCTGTTCATGATTTCATGCAAGAGGGTGGCACGGCCTTTTTGAATGATGCTACGTCAGGCAGGCGTCTGCGTTGTGAATGGTATGAAGATAACAACTGCCAAGAATTTCATGACGGTTACTATTACTTCTATAATTATATTCTTTGCATGTTGTTGGTAGGTCATTGCGAAAGGATACTCGGTGTTTGCATCTTTGATTTCCCAAGTCAAGCTGAGTCTTCCCGCAGCAGCTTGATTGATGAGAGTCGCCTGGCACCATCGGCCAAATAAGCAGGGTCCAGTCGGGTCCAGCATTTTCCAAAAGCATGATGCACGTCACTTTGAGATTTTTTGACCACTGAGACAGCATGGCTGAAAGACCCACAAAGCCGGTCTTTTCTATTCCCTTCTGAACTAGACTGTGAAAAAACTGGTGAGGACCACAATGCGCTCCAGCTCAGAGGTGTCCAACTCAGGCCAGGCTTCGAGCTGCACCTGGTACCTCTGAGACGCCGACTTTGCACACACTGCAAACGTGCCGCTTGGCTGAAGTGATTCTCGTGCAGCTGGCTATGGTGCTCCAATCAAAGACGGCATGTCACTGGAGAAAAAATGAAAGAAGAAGCACAAACCCAGCATCATGCCCTTGGCCGTGACTTCGCCGATGGATGAGGGGTCCTGACAGCCACACTGGAGGGCCTCTCTATTCATTTAAGCGGTTGCATGAGGGCAAAATAGGGCACATAAGCAGGCCTTGGCATGCAATCTTCGACAGTATCTTGTGCCAGGCTGTGTTAGGTCAAGGGGAAGTACAGGGGGCAATCTGTATCACTTCAAGGCTGACTCCAAGGAGCTGCGCCTGAAACTAAGATCAAAGTTTGGGCATCCCAGAAACATTGCAACAAAAATGCATCCAGCCATCTTCCCCCACAGCCGGTAGCCGGTCTTTATTGATTTGTCCAATTTCCCCAGCAACCACGGCAAACGTAAGATTGGAATAATAGATTGGATCTACCGTTCTTGCTGTATTGTGTCTCGTGTGATGTCCGAACTTGCTCCAGTCCAGCTTATCCCAAAGTGCGCGGACGTCTTCTTTGGACCTGAGTGCCAGATGGCAAGCTATGAACAAGCCAACAATCCAAATCAAAAAAGAAAGCACAGTTGATGCATTTCAATGATCCATATACTTAATTTTACAGAGTTCTTCACGGGGTTTCTCCAATATGCGACGGGATGCCTGGCATGGTTACAAAATGTTACAAATGTATGAAACGTCATCCTCAGCGAATGTTGCGTTTGAACCTTTACGGGTGGCCGTTGCAATTGCATTGATATCTTGCCAGGAAATGCCTGGCGCCTTCAGGAACGTTTGATCTGTCACCTGACACTATCTCGCGTTGCACTCTTTCTGCCCGCAACGCGGCCTGGAGCCCAGCAGAAGGTTCAGGATTCTGGATTAAATCTCAGGGTTCTAAGCAAAGCATCAGTGCACAACAACCCTCCTGGATGGCCGTGAAAAGCTCAGCTCGCTGCACATTCCGCCCACAGCCTCCAACAGGCAAAGTGACCTGGAGAAGAAACACCCCGAGGTCAGCGCAAGTTTCTTCAGGACCGGAATTGGGAAGGGCAACATAGCACCTCGCTACTAGGAGCAAGCAAACTACTAGCTCCTGGCCTTACTACTAGGAACAAGAAGCTAGCAGCATCAAAGGGCATCGCTGCTAGGAGCTGCAGACTACGGTCACACCCATCAGGTCGGGGCCCTCGGGGCCCTCGGGGTCCGGGCCTTGGGATCGAGCCATGGCTTCAACTTGGAGAAGATCACACGCAAAAAGTGGTTGTAGGACTGGGCAGGGCGGGTGGATCGAGATGGGCGAGGTATGGGTACTAGTGCACCAGAGTGCTGGTCGAAATATGCCGAACATGGTATGTCACGGCGAGCTAAAGATCTCCAGCAAGACCGCCAAGACCGCAGGGCCCAAAATGCCCAAACACAGCCAGCTTTCTATGCATATCTATGCATTACATTTCAAAAATGTTCAAAAGGCACTGGATTCATGAGCTTGGCGAGCTTGCCCAGGGGTGAGAGATCAAAAAAAAATATTTAAGGCATCACTAAAAAATTTTCCACCCGCATCAAAACAATATTTAATGAATATGAAAGACGGAAAGCGGACTTTTCGAATGGGCTTGAGGCCTGGTAATGGCCACAGTATGCGCTTCTTGATTTGTGCGTGTCATGCTCCAATGACTGTACCTTATGATTTCCTTCCATGTTCTGTCACTCCTCCTTCATTGGGGCATTCTACGTCTACGCATATCTTACAATATGCGACTTCCTGTCCATGCCCCCAGTGGGTACATGTGGGGGAAAAATGGATCACACGCCCTGTCGGCGTCATGCGGAGTCGGCTCAACCTATCTTCCACCTTCGTTGCACGTTTGTCGGAAAGCTTGACCTGGATCAAAAAATCATCCATGGTCTCCTGTACAAATTTCAGCTTTTCCTCCAACTCCTCTATGTATGTGTCTTGGTGGAAATTCCGTAACTGAGCCTCTTCAAGCTCTTTCAAACATTCCTTGAGGTCTTGATACATGACCTCACCGGTGGTTTGTGTTCCTTTGTTTTCCACCGTGAATTTCAAGGTCATCATGACCTCTTGGCCTCTCACTACCTCCTTCACATACTTCATCATGAAGTCCTTCGTGCCATCGAAAATCTCCACCATATAGGCCCGCAGCCAACTCATCAAGCTCAAGGCCCCAATCAGAGCACATGCACATAGGGCCATCCAGCCCCAATCCAAACCTTCATGTACATGAACTTCTCCTTCACTCGGCATGCCCGTCGCCCTAGTCAAAGTGCTGAGCAACATCAGCAGGCCGATCCTCATGTCCTTACTTTTCCCGAACTCCTTGACGCTCTGCTTCAAGTTGTGCTGCTCTTCCAACTCACGGAACTCCTCTTCACCCACACGGTCACCACCGGCGTCCACCATGTTCAGCATCCACAGTAGGGCTTTGTGCCTCTTCTTGCTCAAGCACTTGGTCCCCAAGTCGGCACAATTCAGGTCCGTGGGGATGGATGCAATGGCCACCACCTTTTCCTTCTCCTTCTGCTGGATCCATAACAGCGATGCATCCAAATGACGCACTCTGCCAATGCCCTGCCTCTGAGTCATCGCTCTCGCCGCGGAACTGTCAGACCTGATCTTCAGGACACATGGCTGTCCTGTCAGCTGCTGCCATAGGTGCTTGATCAGCAGCCCTTCGGAGCACCCTGCCACCATCGCCACAAACTCTGCTTCTCCGGATGACAGGGAGATAGCCTTTTGTGACCTCACCTTTGACTCAACCAAGTTCCCATCAATGAAGATCTGGAAGGAACTGGTCGACTTCCGGTCGTGCTGATTTCCTGCATAGTCGGCATCGGTCACCACCTCAACCAAGTGTTGGTCTTGTGGCTCCACATCCACTGAACACCTCATGTCCATCACTGACTGGCCCCGGCTCTTGCTGTCGATGCGGACTCCAAACCCTCCAGCGCCGAACAGGTAGGAGCACACATGCCATGCATGCTTCATTGCTTGGGCCGTCGGCTTTGCCATATGTCGTGCCAGACATTGGATTGCAAACTGTGCATCCGGTCTCTCCCCTGCCAGATACATCAACCTGCCAACAATGCTTCTGTACCCTGTGACTTCTCCTCCTTCGAGTGCAGGTGAGGTGTCCTTCTTCGTGAAGTTTGCATCCAGCGGGGTTTTCCGGTAGAACTTTGAGAACAGGTCCACATCCTTTTCAAAGCTATCATATTGC